TTGTTTCCCCACTTACCCACAGGGCTCACTCCCTCACACCTTGCAAGTCCTTCCCCAGCACTGACCTCAGTGGAGCCTTCCCTGGCCATCCCATCCCAAATTATATTTCCTCAACACTCCTACTGCATAGACTACCATCTGATATGCCAGATATTTTGCTTGCTGCTTCCCAGCTTTCCCCCAGTGGAATACTGAAATGAATGCCCCACAAGAGCTTTGTTTTTGTCTGTTGTATTCACTTCTGTTCCACATGATAACAGTTCCTCCATAAACTGAGTAAGACTTTAGAAAGAATGTTGAATGAATGCATTAATCTGAGATTACATGGAACTAGTCAGGCAAAGGATGGTGGGAGAAAGCACTCTGGGAAGGGGAGCACCATGCTGGAAGGCCCCAAGGAAGGCAGGAACAGGACACACCTGACAAACTAAAGGGTGGAGGGGAGCTGGAATGGGTAGGGTGAAGTGAGGGTGGAGAAGCGGGTCAGGGCAGGCGGATCCATGCGGGCGGACTAGTGTCATAACTCAGAACACAGATGACCTTAATTTGGATGGAGATGACAGAGGCAGAGGTGAAGAAAAGGAAGCAGATTCCAGGCACATTTAGCAGATTAAAAATCAAAGATCTGGGTAACTGACTGCATGGGGGTAAGTGAAAGGGTACCTTCAAGATCACCCTACTTTTTTTTACCTATAAGCTAAATGAACAACAGCACTACTCAATGAGTTCGGAGAGGGGGTAGCAAGGAGAAGGTGGGAAGGTGATCTTGAGCAGTTTTGGAAATAATGAATTTGAAATAATTCTGAGACAGCCAAATGGAAACTTGCAGTGGGCAGTGAAATATCCAGGGTGGCAAGATTAGATCATGAAAGTTGCGGTGTGCCAAGCAACGTTGTATAGATTTTTACCTGGTGTCTGACATGTCAATCAAAAGCTTTTCAGTAACAAGTCACAGGATGTGTGATTCTGAAAAGTCACCCTGGCCACAGCATAAATACTTGGATGGGGGAGGGGGCTAGGCTAGAAGCAAGGAGAAAAATAAGGACGCACTGCAATACACCAGGTGGGCCAGGATACCTGAGCAAGGGTTGCAGCAGTAGAGAAGAAAACGGGAACAGATCTCACACGGCTATGGGGGAGTTTTCTAAAACACAAAACCAGATTGTGTCAGCACCCCACTTCGAATCCCTCAGTAGCACTGGGTGAAAGTGGAGGTGGGAAAATGGAGATAACTGTATTTGAACATTAATTTTAAAAAATGATTTAAAAAAAATCTCTCAGTAGCTTCCAAATTTCATTCTCTCATAACCCCCTCCTCAATTCTCTCTTGCCACCCATGTCCCCATCCAATGTCAAGTTCCCCTAACACAAGACTGTGCTTCAGTGGCTATACTACTCAACTTATGCTATTTCCTTCCACCTAGACAGGGGTCCCCAGACTCTGGGCCGCACACTGGTACCAGTCAGGGCCTCTCAGGAACTGGGTCACACAGCAGGAGGTGAGTTTGAATGTAATGCACTTGAATCATCCCCAAACCATCCCCCTCCACTGCAGGTCCACGGAAAAATTGTCTTCCGTGAAACCAGCCCCTGATGCCAAAAAGGTTGGGGACCAGTGGCCCAGCAAATACCTATTTGTCTTCTTAAGATTCACCTGCCCCACTGTGAACAACAGAAAAGCAATGCTGACATTTAGGTGTTCGCCTAGTCCTCACAGAGCCATGTTGTTCTCTTGTTGGACATAATCTTGCAGAATATCAACACAAGATCAAGCTGCAACAGTGACAAAGTGAGACAAAACAAGACCACTTCACAATGTAGTCTCAACAGACAAAAACAAAGCCAGTGTGCCTTCCACAAACTACCAAACACCCCTCTCTCCTAGCTGATGAGTGACTATGGCCCCTTTATGAACTAGCATTTGCTTACCCTAGTCACAATTCCTTCTAGAGGACTGACTTGAAGTACTCGATATAGGGCTGTCCCACCTCCTGTCAGCACCCAATCTAGAGCAAATCCCTGCTTCCTTGAGCTCTCCCCAAAATATTCCAACCAAAGCCCAACTCCTGTAAGTTCTAACACCCCCTCACTGACAGGCCCCAGAAATTCCCCATGTAGTGCCCCCTCACTACAATGAGTAATTAAACCCAACTTGTTTAACCACCCATGTGTTTCCAGTGGTCTCTGCTGGACGACACTGACAACTGTAACAGGAAAGGATGGTTAACATTCTTGGTGGGAAGTTAGTGAATTCCAACCTGAAGGCTTCCATTTTCCTTGTTAAGCAATACTCACAACTTCACTCATATTATCTTGAGAATGAGGGGACAGTGGGGTAAAGGAGAAGTTTGAGGAAAGTAGAAAATGTCTGAATTAAGTATCCTGGAAAGTAGAAGAGTGAGTTGACCAGAGAATCATACTAGAATGGTCAGATTCTGTTAAGGGCACAGGTGAGGTTGGTTGACATGAACTCACAGTTCCAAGTTCCCTGCTGTGTGATTTCTACCACCTGTAATCGAGATGAAAAAGGAGAGTTTGATGGTAATGGACAAAAAAATCTAAATTTAAATTAAAAAAAAAGGGACAGTTTAGTTCAACCAGGGTTTTGGGTTCACCAAGACTGGAGGGCAAGGCAGATAAAGTCACTGCTAAGAGAACTACTGAATGACTGACTCTGAACTCTAAGCTCAACTGAGAGGTAAGAAGCTAGAGGGAGTATCTCAAGGGTAGGAAAAAACCACGTAGTTCATGAGGAAAATTATGCCAAGAGCATAGCAGAAATAACATCAAGTAAGCTGAAAAGAAGAGTGCAAAAAAGCTTTAATGAAATGTATCCACAGGGCCAACATGTCTGGTCTCCACAGCTTGAGACCCAGCCCAGAAGTTTCTGTATAGTTCAGTGGGTCTAGAGTAGGCCTCGAGCACGTTTTTTAAAATGCCCACAGGCCATGCTGCTGTGCAGTTTGGGTTGAAAAATACTACCTTAAATTCTTTGCAGTTCCAAAGCTGAACTTCCACTACAATATTTAGATGTCTATAAACACAGAGGGCACTAGAAACTGGGGCAAAGAAGAACTGAAATCATAAAAACTATCCAATAAGAGTCAAGGAAAGTCATGTTCTAGTCCTACTATTTCTCTGCACTTTTCTTTCTGTCTGAACTACTTTATAGCTAATTTATTTTTTTAAGTAAGCAAGTATGAAAAAACATTTCCAACAAATATTAAGCAACCCAGTATTAGCAATAAATATTAAACAAACCTAACCCTAACGTGCTACAGAAAACTACTTTCCCTCTCATAATTTAGATGGTGCTGCAGATTCTCTTAGCAAATAGCAGTCAACATGAGAAAATCTATTTCTCATTCAACAGTGCTATAGATGTGGTCAATAGCAGTGAAATCTGGAGAAGAAATAAAGCTGTTTGTAATTCATTTAAATTCACAAATTTCACCAGGGACCACCTCCAAGCCTTTAATTCTTACATATATATTTATCTATTTATTTAATTTACCATCACTAACATATCACATGCAGACACTGCTCTAAGTGCTTTACTAATACTAAGCATCATTTAATCTTTATAATCACCTATGAAGTGGGTATGATTATTATCTCCACTTTACAGATCAGAAAACTGAGAACACAGACTGATTTAGTAACTTGCCCAAGTTTTTACACAACTAGTAAATGGCAGAGCTCGAATCATGTGACATTCTGGCTCCAGAGTCCAGTTTCTGCATCACTATGCTTAGTCTCCAAGAACCTACAAAAAGTGCAAGCCTCACTCCCAAACTTTTGTTCTTCCCACCCTACAATCCCTACATGGCCCCAGCAGCTAGAGCATTTGTTCAGTTCCTCTAACAGTCCACACTCTTTCCTCCCTATGCCTGAACGTTCTCCTACACCATTTTTTTAGCTTTCTGTTTTTAGTTTAAATATCACTACCTAAATTACAAACTCTAACAGGACGCTGTATTTCTCAGCGCTCAAATTGTAATTATGCATTTCATGGGTAATTATCTGTCTCCTCTTTTGCAACCAGGCTGTATGTCAGACACCCTGTCAGTCTTGTTCATTATGTGGTCTCAATCACTGAATCCCCACCATCCTGAGCAAATGAAGGGCCTAGCACAAAATAGGCTCTCAATAATTTTTGCTGAGTCCTGGCTGGTGTGGCTCAGTGGATTGAGCTCCGGCCTGTAAACCAAAGGGTCACTGGTTCCATACCCAGTCAAGACACATGCCTGGAATGCAGGCCAGGTCCCCAGTGGGGAACACCCGAGAGGCAACCTCACATTGACGTTTCTCTCCCTTTTTCTCCCTCCCTTCCCCTCTGCCTAAAAATAAATAAATAAATAAAATCCTTAAAAAACTGTTGAATGAATGAATGAAGAGAGCACACTCAAGTCTCATGCTATCTTTTTCATGTTTTCGGGTGTGTGACATATACCTGCCACAACGCCCCCCCACTACACCCCTAACAGAGTACACTCCTGAAGCATACAGGCAAGAGCTCTAGACAGTACTGGGTCTGCACATCAATATGATATGGTGGTGGACACGTCATCTCGCCCGATTGGCTTAAGTTTCAGGTGTACAATGGGGATCTTGACAACCCCCAGTAAAATGTAATCTATTAAAGGAGGAGGACCTGCGCTTATACTAACGCAGCAAAACTGTACTTAGTATGTGCTTCACCTCTGTGTTTCCAGCAAGACTAAGCTCCAGGAGGCCAAGACCACCTGTGCCTCGTGCTGCGCCATACTCCAAGCACGGTATCCCGGGGTTGCACCGTGCCGGGAACACAGCAGAAGTTCGATAACTATGAGTTACATAAATAAGCCCCAGCTCTGTGCAATTCACAGGTACGAGGCGAGCGTCGCAAGAGCTGGCGGGAGGCTGTTGGCATACAGGCACGCTCCATAAACACAGGCCCACCTCCCACCAGGGCTCCAGCACATCGGAAATGCAGCCCCTAACTCGCGCCCCGCAAACACCTTTTGCAAATAGACGCATCTTCACAGGTGCCCCGCACGCCCTCGTCGTCAGTTTCGGTCGAGGAGGAAGGACAAGAGTTGAAGGTTGGCTTCCTCAGGCTAGTGGCCATGGGCGTGGAAGTTCCGGGGTGCTGTGCCCACCCAGCACATGGAAGCGGGGTCACCAGCCACCGGGAGAGTTAGCACGCCTGCAGCAAGATAGGAGAGAGGGGCTGGGCTCCTCGGAGCTCAGCTGGCGCGGCTCAGGGAGGCCGCCCACGACCGCTCTCCCAGCAACCTTCGCGCCTATTGGAGCCTCTAACAAGACGCTCATTGGGCAATTTCCTCGCCCCTCAGCCCGCGGAGGTGCTATTGGACAACTCCTTTGGCACCGCCCACACAACCCGGAAGTTGCCGAGGTGGGGGGGAGGTAAACTGAAATTGACACGATATGGAACCTCAATTCTTTCTGGGAATTGTAGTTTTAGGTGCGTTGAGAGGCTACTATATTTCTTAATTGCTGATCACGAGATACAACTGTCATTAACTCGGAAGCATCCTAGCACTGGGGCAAAGGGCAGAGAATCTAGCAGGAGGAGACAAATGTCATTTTGACAATTGGGGCTCAGTCTCATTCAACAGTTGAACAAATATTTATTGCACTCCCTCTGAGCCAGGAGCTGAGCTCTACACACATAATGGCCTTTGAGATTTCATGAAAGAAGGAATGTGTGGAAAAGTCATACAATGGAAAACTATGTAGCAATGAAAATGAGTGAACTACAGATACTAGTTGCAAGCATCAACGGCTGGATTTCAGAAACAACATTCACCGAATGTAGGAAATACATTTTTGTAAATTCAAACCAAGAAAAATTAATGTGTAGAGAAGCAGACCTAAATGATAAAAATACCATGTTTTGCTATGTATAATGCATACCTTTTTGCCCAAATTTTTTAGGGAAAAATAAAGATGGGCATTATACATGGGTAGTACTAATTCCATATTTATATAATTTTTTTAATTCCTTTATGCTTATGCATTAAAAGTGTAACTCTAGAAAGCAATAACAATACCCACATAAAAAAAATATCCTGGAATAAGATAATCAGTTTTGTTTCTAAATATTAAAAAATTAAAATTGAATTAAAAATTAAAATGAAAGACTTTTTACTGAAAGTTTGGGCCAAAAATATGGCTGTCCATTATACACCAAAGTGCATTATACATAGCAAAATATGGTAATACTACAGGGGAAAGTAAAGAAATGGGGGGAGGGCAAGTATTTGTGACCATTAGCCAATGGAGAGTAGGACACTGGAGGACAAAGAAAGGGAATGGGAAAGGAGTTTATAGACACCTCAATAATTGCCTAAGTTGGGGTGGGTTCACGTGTTTGTTTGATTATTATGCATTTTCAAGGTGTTCATTACACATAGTTTGTACTGGACTTATTATAAAGCATTTTCTAGACGAAGTATGTTTGCATGTTCCATTTTATTTTCTGTCAGGAACAGGGAACAGATATGCTCAAACTTCAGTAACCTTGGATCACATACACACACAAACAAAACAAACAACAAAAACCCAATACACATGTCTGGGGCAAGATCAGGTATCAAGTGCTTGCTTTGTATTCAATGGAGGAATAAGAGCTCATTAATACCCCAAGTAGAAATGACAATGGGGAAGGCTGATGTTAGAGAGTTTTGTCAACGGGACTGGTGATACAATGACATACACCACTTTCTTTGAGTGGTCCTCTGCCAAGAGGGTAGTGCAGACCTCTGAACAAACACAGTTTTATAGCTTGGCAGTGTACAAATTCCATGGATGTAATAAGTGTCAACAGCAAGTTGAATAAGTTGTGGATACAATAGGTGTGGATAGGGAGGATGAGGGTGATTGGAAGAGGATGACAGAAACTCTGACACACCTGTGGTGTTTGGCAAGCAAAGAACACTTCTGTTCCCTGCTGAGCCTTCAACTCAGAAAAAAAAAGATGGTGATTCAGAGGACTTTTGTCAGTGTTTCACTCAGGGCCACTCCCAAAGGCTCCCCTCAGGCAGAGCCAGCTCATTCCATTTAAGCTCCTGGTCAAAGGGTTAAAACTTTATGACACAGGGGTGGAGTCTAGAAAGGGCAAGCTTAGCCATCTACGGTTGTCAGGTGTCTCCAAAATGAGACTACTGAGTAGTTTTGAACAATGTCCCACCCGGAGAGAAGTCACTACCAACTAGTCTCCATCCTTTGACAAGTCAAGAAGAAAGAAACTGGACTTTAAAATCATTGTGCATATTAATATTGTGAGCAAAAAGCTGGGCATTAATGATGAAACTTCTTCCTGAGAGGTTAGAGTAGGCATTTGTTGCTTTGGCTCTCTTGTATTTCTTTTTTCTGTAACAACAGCTGGAGTTTATTATGGGGAACTATACTCTCCTTTTAGCCCACATGGATAAGGTGAGGTTCCACACCTAATGAGTAGAACCTTACAAAGACCTGGCCAATCACACACAAAATCACATTAGCTACACTCCAGGGTATGTGGGAGTGGTGGTGGTCGTGGTGGCAGTGGTGACCAGGTTGGTCCAATAGGCATGAATCCTAGGGGTTGAATAGGAGTTGCTAAGGCTGGAATAGCTTTCTCTTCTGCTAGACTTGAACCTAGAAGGAGGTCCCTTTGGAAATACTGAGAACCATCTTGCTACCTCATGCAGTCTGAGAGTAATGCTAATGGCAAGGCCAATGGAGTCTGGAACACTGTATGCTCACTTAGCAGTGACCTGAGTTTGCAGTATGGAAGCTGATGGGAAAATCACCAGATCCTATGGAGCTGGACAATTAGAAACAGCTGAACTCAGAAAGATGGAAGAAAGTGTCATATGGAGCTTGCAACTTTCATCCTGAGCTGAACTCAAACTAACCCTACCTCCCATCACCACTTTGTAGTACCTCATTCAAATCATGATCTTCTTTCTTTGCTGGTCCCATTTTCTAAGTTTTTGGCCTGTGACTTCCTCACAAGCTTTAAGTAGCTATATCCCATTGGAAAAGCTATCTTTCCTCCATTGAATTGGTTTTGCACCTTTGTCAAAAATCAGATATGCATTATTGTTAGGACTATTTCTGGGTTCTTTGTTCTGTTTCATTGATATGTGTCTATCCCTCTGCAGATATTACAGTCTTGGTTTCTGTTGCTCTATGAGTTTTGAAATTGGGTACACTGATTGCTGCAACTTTATCATTATTTTTCAAAATTTTTTAGCTGTTGTAATTCATTTGTCTTTCCACATAAATTTTAGAATCTGGTGTACATCTACAACAATATCTTACTGGATTTTGGTAAGAATTGCATTAAATCCCCCTATCAATTTGGGGAGAATTGACATCTTTACTATGGTGAGTCTTCCAATCCATGAACATAGTATACCTCTCCATTTATTTAGATAGTTTTATCAGTGGAGTGGAGTTTTCAGCATACAAGTCTTGGCCATGTTTTGTTGGATTAATACTAAATTTTTATTTTTATTTTTATTAGTGATCATAAATATTTTTGGTGTCCATATGTTCACTGCTGGTATAAAGAAACATAACTAACTTTTACATCCTGTGACATTGTTAAATTCAATTACTAGTTCCAGGAAGAATTGCTTTTTAATAACTTTTTGTAGTATAAAGCCCAAAATTAAGATTCATTATTGAAAGCTATCATGACATCTGGCAAAATCAAGGGTGCTTCAATTGGCCTAACAACATGTTCCCCACTCCCTCTCCTTTCAGAGATAAGTCCTTCTCACCAAACAACTCTTTTTACCACAGGGACCAGACACAGTGCCTATTGATTCCCAAGTACCAGGCTTCAGTGCCCTAGCAGCCCACAGAAGTATTAAAGCAAGCCCATCACACCCTCATGTAGAAACTAGGGCTCACCCCATCGTCTTCTTACTACAAAGCTTGCCCCCTACAGCCCCTGCTTGTTCATTCTGTTCCTGAGTGCCAACTCCATATGGCCCTGTCTGGTATATAGTGTCCTCCCCTGGGTTGTGAGTATATGTGACTAATAAACTGCCATTGATCCCATCTGTCTAGTGTCCTGTGGTCAGCCATCCTCATAAGTATAGATGGGAACCTCTCTCTCACCAGTGGAGAGAAGAGGAGGTGGTATTATAAACAATGGCTTAACCTCAACTGAGGACACCTGGTCAGCTTTAACTAACTGCTTCTTTTTTTTTATTGTACCCATTTTTAATTTTTTTTATTTTAGTTGTTGTTCAAGTACAGTTTTCTGTCTTTTACTCCCATGCTTCTTTGATAATTAACTAGTTTCATAAAGTAGCAGTTAGTTTCTGGAATGTAACTGCCAATCACCGGCCAGCCTGGGCTTTAGCTCATGTTCTGTTATGTCAAATGGATGTTGCCATCAATCCCCACCCCAGTTCCTCTTTCTCATCAACAAAATGTGAACTGTCATTGATTTATAGATTATCCCAAAGTGAGGTGCCATCGGGTGTAACTGGTGTCTGATAGGTGGTCTCCCAGGCTCGGCTCCCACCTGAGGGCAGTGACAATGCAACATCTTAATTGATGGGTGCTTGAGTTCCACTTAGTGGGTGAGGGACTAGTGCTTTGGTCACTGTGTCTAACCTGATGACCATCTCGGGCTGTTTTGGAAACTGCACTTCCAGTACAGTTCTGGGGATGACCTGTTGTGTTGATTGTGAAAAGAAAGTGATAGGGGAACGCAAAGGTTAAATATTTTAGCTTTAGTTGATAGGTTTAAGTGATTGATGCATGTGAAAAGCTGTTATTCCAGGAACAGGAATACATGACCTATGTGACTTCAGGAGGTCAACAAGCAATTCAAACTTTTTGCCCCAAGGGTCTGCAAACAATGGAGATGGTATCTGAGTTTTTGAACAACAGATAAAGTACTCGGAAAAAGCACCCCCAAACTGCAACTCTTATCTGATTAACCTTTTCCCCAAAAACCTTATCTACCCTTTCTTCTCCTTATAAAAATATCAGCTTGAGATGAGATGTTAAGATGGTTTTTGAGGGTACATAACCTGCCATCTTCTCAGATCACTGGCATCTGAATAAAGTGCCATAAAGATTCAATTCCTGTCTCTGCTAATTGGTTCTGGCGGTGACAGGCAGCACAGTTGCCAACTTTTCCAGTTTCATATTCTGGCAACTCTGGTGGGATACCTTCTGGACTCTGGTAAGTCTGGGTATCTGGCAGGGAGTCCCATTGGCAGCTTGGACGGGGGCCCTAGGGTATGGATTTAGAGACTGCTTA